TAAATGCTATCTGAAGAAAAATGTCAATAAGGAAAGTCGGTATCCGACCTGAGAATCGAACCCACGATTTCCTGAATACGTGACACGTGTGCTACCTACTAGATTGCTACGTCTGGCACTAAGCCAGTTTGTACTCTTTTCGGAAAAAGTTTAAATATAATGTGAGATTCAATACGAATAACCATCAGTCGACATATTAATTAAGCAAAATGTAAAAAATGAATGAAAACCAAAAGATTAAAATTTTAGACTTTAGAGAGCAATGTGTTTTTGTCTATTCTTTATATCTTGACTTAAAAACACCGACTAAACACCACGAAGCACAGTCCCCGAGAAGATGAAAATGCTCAGCTAGTCAATAAGAAATTACCAGCATTTTAAGGAAACGCGAAGATCCATAAACGCCCAACTTTAACCTATCTTGATCCAGATGCAGCCAGTCACAACCTCACACCTATTTCTTTAGAATAAATTTTAATACTGTCATTTACGCATGTGTGCCCCCTTCGTGTTTGTGGATAAAAGTTTGTACTTATTTCTTATCTCCCCCTTACGTGCTACAAATTTGTTACGGTATGGAGGGGGATAAGGTACCTTCTCTTCCAACACCACCACCAACATAACAGCTAACAACCATTTTCAATTTCTGCTTCCAAGTTGTCGTTATGGGGTCGCTGGGACGGTGGGTTCGAATCCCACTCAAGCCATGGAAGTTTTTCTGTGTCGTGCTGTCCTGTGTACAGGTAGAGGCCTTGCAACGGGCCGATCCCTCGTCCAAGGAGTCCTACCGAATGTCTATAGATCGAGCCAACGAAAAGTTGGGACCCGCAGTGCTCAGGCACTTGAAGAACGGGTCGTTCCCAGTATCCCCAGTTATCGTTATCGTTACGCTTCAACTAATTACTAAAATATATCAAATGTGAATAATAATGCGATATTAACAACAACAAAAACTCGATTTCTAATTTGCAATCTCCTTCTTCAGAAACTTCTGAACAGGAAATACATGAGACAATCATTTGCCGGTATGAATTTTACTAAATGTTTCTTTCAACACATTTTAGTCATCACAGTTTAATAGGTACACCAAATTCAACGGTAGTGTTGTACAGAGTGGGACAGCGCCCATACATCATTTTTAATGATACACTAGTCGGAAGCAGATTATTCAAATTTATTCAAAGTAATGTTAATTGAAAGACAAGCGGTTGCCATTGTTAAGGAACAAAAACAACGTTACTTCTTAAAAAACATACCTGCCAGATGGCGTCTATCAACATCGATGCAATGATGTGCTGAATTCAAAACACTTTCCATTACGCGCAGTAACATAACCGGTGACGTGGCATTAATTTCTTTCACCGGACACGTTACTGTACATAATGTATTATGAATCGTCCTGATGGACGACATCTGACGGGTATTTTTAAGAAGTTGTGATATTCCTCAATAACGGCAAACACTTGCCTTTCGATTCACATTGATACGAAGAAACATGAATAAACCGTGGCCGATCAGAGTATCTTTAAAAAAGATGAACAAACGTTGACCTAATCTGTACGATGCTTTTGCTGAAGTAAAGAAACTAATTTAAGCACAAAATTAAAGCTATTCAGCTACACGTCATTCTTAACCTTGCCGCTAAATAGGGGTGAGTCGGCGTCTCGCCCCGCCCGCGCTTTACCCCCGGGAAAGGACCCCGGTACCCACTGGACAGGAGGTTGGGTGAGCCCTAGAGCTGGTCTGGAAGCACGAAGTACACGCATACAAGCTGATACAACCTGCTGCTATACTGTATCTGACAAACGCAGAATATCTTGAGAGTTTAAGTTTCACAGAGGACAAAATGTGGATTGCGGTCTTCTGGGGTGTGACGCCATGTAGTCTAGAAGATAGAATTTCAGAGGTAAAAGTACCCTGAAGATGGAGGCGATACGTTTCTCCGAAACGCGTATAACTACCTGCGGAACTAATCCGTGGAAACGCAGAAGACCCCAAACTACACCTTGTAAGCAGTTGATCATTACGTCAAAATGAACACTGATGATCCCTAGTAATTTCGTATGTGTACGGAATTAATACTGGCGAAAAATGTTGGATGCAATTTTGATTACGTTCCGAAACGTGATACAACTTAAACTGTTAAATCAGAAACGCACATTTAAGAAAACAATATATATTTGCAGACACTACAATAAACGTTACTGTTTTATTACACGGCTAGAATAGAATAATTATATTACTGAAAGTAGAACAATTAAGTAAACAGCAGTACAAGTAGATGAAATAACAAAAGAGGAACACATTCTCACTGCTATCACCGTCTGCATTCAGACTTGTATTTTAATAGGTTCTTCTTTGCTTGTGCAAAAATGCGACCTCGGAATTCTTCCATGGGAGATTTGAGCAGTAAAGGAACATTTTTAGAGGCAATGAGAAAGGTCACCGGAACAGCCCAACGCGAAGGGACTGAGCACTAACTGTGAAACTGTGATGTACCGCAATTCGACTAAATTTACAATTTATCTTTAGTTTCTACATCATAGAAGATGCACCGAGCTTAGATTGGATCTAAATTGCTGTATAATTACAGCCCGTTTCTAATATACATCGACAAAAATGCAACGGTTGGAACATTTCATTTGACGGGGGGAGAGTAAAATAATTTTCCATACGAAAACTGCAACTTATAACTCAGGCGAAGATTAAAAGTTCTGTCTTAAGAAGAAGTGCAGGCAGGATATGTTCAGAGAGGAAACAATTAGGTCAAGGTTTGCAGTGAACATCCCTATTAATATAATTTTCAAACACATTTCCGAAATCTTGGTCGTTTCCTGATATAATATGAAACACAGCTCAAACTGACAGAAAAATTCCGTGGAGTGGAAAGTATTTTGTCAAAATGTCAAATAACGGCAATATTAATGAGTCCACTTGTTTATATGCCTGTATTTGCAATAAACTAAACAATGATGCGGTACAGAGTCCCTCAAAAAAACACAAGAAAATCGAAATGCATCACCATTGTTCTTTGCTATATTTATACATCAGAAAGGCAGTTCGTTATTTCATGAGAAGAATTATTTTCACTCAACAAACGAGGATCATTTTTCGGCCTGCTCTCCTGTCTCTCCCTTTCGACGGTCCCATATGACCATATAAGGAGTTAAACAACATTTCACTTGCACTAGGTACCGTTGTTCTAATTGCTGAACTATTTTGTACGTTACCTTGTCATCTTTGTAGTTGATTGTATGAGCGTCGTTTATGCTGAAGAAACTAAGACGTTGCTCCAGGATATCCGTCTATCAGTTCTGTCATCAGCCCATCTGTTTCTGCCACTCAACAAACACTTTTTGAATGAATTAATTAAAGTAAATCAAGAAATTACTATTATTAACATTCCGTTGTTATTATTTGCTAAAAAAATCACATGCCACTTGATCTGCTAGAACTCGCGAACTTTTTGGTCGGATACTAACACGACTCACCTGAGCACAGAACCCGCATGCACCTGACTGGATTTCAGCATGGGTTTACCGTGAAATAACTGTTTTCAGAGGACATTGCGCCTGTTGCAAACGGTGTAATAAGTATTCAAGCGCTATCTGGGAACGAGAGCCGTTACTACAACATATCCGCCGGCCTCTTCTAAATTGACGGTCGGAAATGTGGAGACGAGAGACCTAAGGTTCGACTGAGGCAAAGTGTGAGATCAAAAGCGATTTGCAAATTTCTGCAATTTCTAAACACATTGCTTGTTTCACCTCAGTTTTTATGCAAGGCTCTTGGACGTGGTAATTCTCTAATGGTTACTTATCAATGTAATTAGCTTGGAAACAAAAGCATACCATGTATACTCAAGTAAACCCACACTTTCATTGAAATGGTGAATTACATTGTTTAGAAATATTTATAGCCGAAGAGACATCATGCTTACAGAAAAATTATCATAATACTGTAAGTTTTCAGCTCGCATTATTAATGTGTGTACAGAGATCATATTATCAAATGTATCAAGAATGTGTCTGGACACTTTCCTTTCCCTTATCCATTGCATCTTGCAACCTATTTCAAGTAAAGCATGAAGTTGACATCTGTTTGTATGCTTAGACAATATGGTAATGCTTCACTCTTACATATAACTAAACTTAAGAATGAAAACTGTTAATGATATTCCAAAATAAAATTTAAAAAATATTCGTATTCTGCCAGAGCATATCTGTTTCTCGGAACAGTTGTACCTGACAGAAAGAAGTCAAGGGCTGATCTGGGAGTTTCAAACCAAATCCCCTCAAATCTTGTGTCACACAGAACTTCTAAAAATTTGGCCCTGCAGATCTTTGCATGACATTCTGTAAGGATTAAAGAAATTAAGTCAGAACACCAGATCATTTTCAGTGAAATGAAACCAATGAAAGGCAAATTGAATTAACCAATAAATCCATCCACTCTGAATGACTTATTTATAACATAAACAGTAAAATGCAGGGTTCTAGTCCAAATATTCCAGTGATATTAAATAAGAGAAACACAGAGGAAAGCATAAGAAGCAACTGTGTTGTCAAGTGTCATTGTTAATTATATACATTCTATGCCCATGTAAATGTAAGGTTATTAATATATTATTACTGCAACTGTGTGAATAAGTATATTATTTTATATGTATTGTATTGAGAAGTGTATAATTACTCTTTTCTTTTCTTGTAGAGTACGCATGTTTCGTATTACACTGTGAAGCTTTCTCTAATTGGAGTCCATGCCTGTTGGAGGCAAATAAATGTGTGAGATGCAGAAAGCAAATAATATAATGAATTTCTTTTCTTCCTTTATCTTAATATTTAGCATTAGTTTATTTTAAATATATCCTATGAATATGATTATATGAAGTGTCATTAAAATTTGGCAGGTGGTTGAAGCCAAGCAGCATAAAAAATATTCTAAGCAATAAAAGCCCAACGGTTTTAAAAACCAAAAGTATAAATGAAATAAAACTTGTGAACATTATCAAGACTTTATTTTACACCAACATCTGAAAGACACTTTAACCAACCTGACAACTTACAATTACAATACCATACATGGTTTCAGGAAACAATCTTATTCACAACCAACAACAGGAAAGCAACTTTACAGAAATAAAACATTTATAACATCTATGTAATGCAACAAACATGCTGTTCAACATGAAATGCATAATTCCATTAAAATGGTGCAAATGTACTACGCAGTATCATGAACAAATAGAAACTTTTTTGTGTGGAGTATGTGGCAACAGTTTATGTGTTAGATTCAAAGAGGTTACTTATTGGCGGTTTTAGCTTATTTCATTTCCAATATTTCACAGTCTGTTCATTTCTGCATGAGGCCAAAATAACATACAGAACTTAATTGAATTTCCCTACTATCTGAAAACTGTTTTAGTTTAAAAAATACTGAACAAATATTTTGAGATGTTTTACCAAATGTCAACTGCAAATTGTAATCTGATCATTAACATAAAAAACAGAACTTTAATTAATAAGGGAATGAAAACTATGACGTTCTGATTTACGAGATAGTGGTTTCCACAAGATGATATGCATGTCAGAAGACAGGTAAATGATAAATTGTCTTTGTATTAAAATTATAGTTATTTGTAAATTAAACTTTTCTGATAAATGATAAATACTCAAAACAAAACAGATTAGTTGTTCATATGAATTTCAGTAGTGTCATGTATTAAAATGTCAGTTTTATCCATATATTGATTTGTATATGTTTAAATAATCACAGTTTTATCATTCAAGGCTCCATCCCATTTCTGCTCACATCATTCAGTTTTCCAAATATTTTTGTAACTTTAAATGGCTAATATATTTGCGGTGTCAACTGTATTTTCACTCCATTTCAACTTCCGAAACAGTCAGACTGATTTTCAAAAACATTTACATTTTCAGTGTTGGGCAATATCAAGTAACACTCTCTCTTTCAATGGCGTTAAATACTGAAATTTAAAGAAAAGTATTACCAATTCACTAGTTTCGCACTACAGCACAAAATAAGATTTGACTATATATGAAACATTACAGGCAACCCACTAAAAGTCAAAACATCTTAGGAAGAAGTAAAATACTAATTATGAATATGATTATATGTGACAAATGTACAACATTCTAATTCTGACATAATATTATTTCTCTTTATAGCAGCTGGTAAATACATGTTTCAACTAACAGAAAAATGGAACCACTATCACAGCCACTGGCAGAACAATGTCGTTTACACCAATGGTGACAAGAAAAGAAGAAATTAATTTCATTCAAGTTAGAAATTATCTGGTCCCATACTGAAGTGATGAATACTGTTTGAATTTGCTTTGATGTAACAGAAAAATTAAATACTTTCTAATTACTGTTTATGTGCATATTAAAGTTTGAAATATGGACAGGCCTTGTCGTTTCCATAAGCTCAAGAAATATGGAGTTTTAATTGTGGTGTTTCAGTTAAAGCATTTGATTGTGGCAGTGTCAAGCATTCAAGAAAACTTAATGGAGACAGCAACACACAGTTCAGTTGCCACTGCCTTTCCTAACCTTCAAGGCATTTTTGTGATATAATCTTCAAATGTATGTTTTTAAACAATGAAAAGAGTGTAAAGAGGTACTTTCTCCTGTGAGTGTTTAGTTTCTGCGCTGATTTGCAATATTTCAAATTACAGTCTCTGAGGTAATTAATGCCCATAACACTAAATTTGATTATACTCTAAGATTTTTTTAAAGGTTCACAGCAAGTTTTCCCTTCAGCAGTTAATACAGATACCACTCAGAGGAAAGGCTCAATCCAGTACTTGACAACTGGCCCACCACTCCTCCCATTCACTGCTGCTGCTTTCAATACTCTGTTGCGATGTTTCACATCTTTTGGTTTGCGAACATTTTTGTGATTACTGTACATGCGACTGGGAGTAATAATGGATTTCTGACTGAGACCTGTTGCTTCCAGGAAATGTTCATAATTGGCACCACTATTGCCATTTTGAAGCACAGCAGCCCTGGTCTCAGCACCGTCTCCTGCTGGTCGTCCTTCGTCCTCCACACTCCCAACACTGTCCATGTCCACATCTTCCAATTTGAATTCTTCAAAGTTGCTCCTCAGCGCATTGTTTCCGTCTTCCTCTTCCTCATAATCTTCTTCCTGAGGTGACTCTCTTCCCATTCCAGTACCTAAGTCTTCAAACCGCCGAACCATCTGCGAAACACGAGGCAGTACCAAAGCTCCCTCAGGTTCGCCTTTAGTCAGCTCACTGATGATACTGTTTCCTGAAGAACCTGTGATCAGTGACGAGACAGACGACCCAACACGAATCTTGCCACAGTGATTGTTGTTACTTATAGAAGGTGACGTCTCTATGTTATTTTTCAACAGTGAAGTGTGTTTGTGAACCACTCTCTCCTTGTGTCGCCTACGTTCATGGTCATGGCAATTAGATGTATGACCGTCTAACTGTTTATTACTTTTTACAGTGGTAACTGACCCTCCGCCTCTCACTTGGTGCTTCAAGGTATTTGAATGATTCTGAAAGTCTGATATATTTAAATTGTCAAGCTTTTCTTCAAAACTTGGAGAAGTGATACAGAAATTGTTGTTCTTCTCCTGTTGATGGTCATGACTCAAATCTTGATTCAAAGCAAGCTTCAGACTTCCATTGCTCAGGATCTGTCGCTGACGTGGTTTCTCAGCGTAGTGAATGGTTGATGGAATTCGGGCATCACGATTCAGAATGGGTTTTGCACTGTTCTCAATTAAATTTCCACATTCAGGAATGTCGCGTTGGTTTTGGTTTACATCCTGGGATTGGTCTGGTTCATATTTTGAGGATATTTTCTGATCTTGACTTGTTGAGCTTAGATTAGTGTTGTTTTGAAGGTGATTCTGATTCGGTTGAGCATTATTCATAGTTTTCTTACACAACCCTTTAGCCCCAAGTTGTGGTGGCTTTGGAGGCAGAGCTGGGGGAACTTGGCTTCTACCTACTGCAAACTCCGTTTTTTCCTGTGGTGGACAAGGTGGCACATTAGATGTGTCCTTTTTATCTAATTCTTCAAATTCTAAATTCCTAACAAGTGTCAATCGTTGTGAAGCCATCAACAGGCACGCTTTCTCTTCAAGCAGTTGAGCTTTAGCTGGTGGAGATGGTGTTTTATCTTTTAGAGGCAACTTCAGAGTCTCTTTGTTATTTTGAATGCAGTTCTGTATATCAGGGCTGCCATGTTTATCACCATGGTAATTTGACTGATTCTCAACTAATTGGCTTCCTGCCTCTTCCTCTCCCTCCTCTGCACAGCTTTCCTCATCCTGTTCTTCTTTAATGCTATGACAGTGGTAGCTGAAAATTCCTGTTCCCTTACAGTCAGGTTTGCGTACACTTTCCTGTTGATATCTTGTGGTTTCCATTTCCTCTTGGTCATGAAGAAGAATCTGACTGACGCATTCCAAGACGGGATTGTGCTGATAATCTTTGTACAAGTCTCTAGCATCTAATTCATCTTCATGACAGCCATTCTCCATACTATCTTCAAGTTCCTGTGACTCCGAAAGGGTTGATTCTTTGAATTCATGTCTTTCACCTTCAAAATTCATTGATGTCTGATTCATATTATACTCCTGACTAATGAATTTGTCTCTATTTGCCATTTCCCTGCGCCTGGATAAAGGCCTATAAGACCCATGGTTATTCAATCTGTTATGACTATTCTTCTTAAATTTAACAAAAGCTGTAGTCTGTGATGTTTTAAATTTATTGTCACCAACAGAAACACACTGTAAAGGCTTCTCCTCATCTGAGGTGGCACAGTCATCTTGGTTTTCCTGTATCTTCCTCGTGTGTGTCTCAAAGAGACACACCCCTGATTCCTCTCCAGTTAAACTACGCCCTGAGACCTCCTGTGATTCTCTTTCAGTGTTCTCCTGGTTTCCCTCTGCAGTGATGTTTTTCCTCTTCATCTGAAACAGAAAAACCAATATTTACAAATTATTGACAGAACTGAACATGTACACTTCTTATCTTCATAGCAGAGTTTTCTTCATATGAAACTTTTCTGTTGTGAAATGTAATGGAGTTTATATCTGTCCCCAAATATTCATATTAATATGAAGTCTATATAATATTAAACAAGAAGTTCAGAGAAGAATTTAAGATGCCTACTTACCTTTGCATTCTACAATAAATTAAAAGCACAACATTCCAGGATTTATGCTCAGTAACGTCAGTGTCACTCAAATGTTACGAGTTCTAACAGCTGACAATTGGTATTATTGTGGTCAGGAATTAAAATTTATAATGAGGCCTTAGTGGCATGTTTATATAAAGTTTCATGAACATCTACTAATTGCTTCAAGAGTTATTAGGAAGGACAGCAACTATATGATACCTTACAAAACAAAGAAAGTGTGCTAAATGTCTTTAGCCAATAACATTCTTGCACATTTGGCATCTGACCATAGAAACATAATGACAAAAATACAAGTACCTAATTAATACATAAGATTTCAAATTATATCTTTATTACCCATTTAATAACAAATATGCGATAGTGAATGACGCACCTTACAGAGTCGCGCAATCTCCAGTTGCTGGACGCGGATGACGTCGTCCCTGTCAGAAAGTTGCTGACGAATGTGGCGTTGTTCCCGCC